GACTGTCACAATTGTAAAGGTTGAAATTTTGTAACAAAAAAAGGGGAGCGGTTAATCATACAGTCCAGAAACAGAGGACCCTAGGACCATCAAGAGAGGAATGCACAAATAGAATGTGGGACCTTATCCAGAGAAACAGCACCAGAGATGGAGGCAGAGATGGGGGCATGGAGAGTGGGAGCGGCTGAGGACTGTAGATTTATCAACTAAGAAGAGAAGGACTAAGAATTGGTGGCCAGGAGCAGACTTGCAGAATGTGCCCTTTGGAGATGTAAATTATTATATATGCCTGAGTGGGGGGAAAAAAAAAGAATGACATTTAGGTACCTTCAAAGGATTGACAGAAAGATTGAGGTGTAAAGAGAACACAGAAAAACTTTACAATAATTTAGGAAAACACTACAAGACAAAAGACAAAATAAATGCAAATTTTGAAGCAATACAAAACCTGCAACTAGAAATCCTGATTAATACTAAGTTTCAGAAATGGACAATGTATTGAAAGGGTAAAGGAGTAGGCTTAAATCAATGGAAGTCTGAATTGATGAGCTTAATGAGAAGTCTCTCAATACTAGAATGCTAAAATAAAAATTTTTTAAGTCTGCAAAAAGCCTAAGAGTCATATGTATGATATAATCTTTATATCAATGACAAAAAAATTCCACAAAAAAACCCCAGCTACTAGAACTGCTTATGTACAAATACCTCATCACGGGATTTGGTTCTTTAATCTGAAGGTTCAGGGTCATGGTTTCATGAGATGCCTCAGTTAACTGGCCTAATAATGTGCTTAGTGCTTCTGTTCTACCTCCTACTTTGTTGAGTAAAGCTAGGGGTTTTAAAAGATTGAACGTAGCCATTAAAGGCACAATTGGTCTCCATACACCTGAAACAACAGAAGGAGAGTCAGGAATAGGATCCCGATTCTATAGTATGTGGCTAATTGCCTCCATAAACAACTTGTCTCTTTGTCATGAGACCAGAAGAACTAAATGGTGTCCAGCTACCATTACTGAATGTTTTAATCAAAGATTCCATAGAAGAGTCCTGATCAAAATGGGGGAAATGCAGAATAGAATTTCAAATTCTTATAGACGCTATACAATTTCTAGAAACATACGGCAGGGGCCTGTAAAGCCCAGTCTTACAGCTATATCTGCTACTGAGATACTGCCAAAGAGCCAGGTTAAAGAAGGAAGAGTATTTCAGTCCTATAAGTTATAAAGATCCGATTTGAGGTGGGGAAAGGACCAGATACACATTTTGAGGTGCTCAAAAATGACATATGAATCACATGAAAACAAAACAAAAGTTTTCAAAATCTATGAAAAGCAGAGAGGACACAATCCAAAAGGAAAAATGCAAAGAAATTAAAGAACTTTACCCATTTACTGTATTTCAGAGGTCCGGTGAATCCCATGGCTTCGATGAGCTTCGTGAAGGCACCCACCTTCTCCTCGACAGGCTGTGGGGAATCTTTGGTAGTAAGAAGCTATTTCAACAAAGACAAGGGGACCAGAATTAGTCACAGAAAAAGTTTTTTTTTTTAAATTGCATTTGTTCCTCATTAAGTCCCAGGGTATTTGAATTCCTTAAATGCTTTTTATCTACCTAGAAAGTTTAATTTTCATTTTTTAAAAGGCATCATATCACTCAATTAAAAAACATCTGGAACTCTATCTAACAGATATCCATCCTCCTGAGTAACATGCCCAGAAAATGATAAATATTTGGGAAATCAGAATAATTTTAAGGACAATTGTGGTGGGATAATTTGAGAAAAGACAGCAAAAATGATTGCACAACTTGAAGAATGTTATATAATGTAACACGCATATCACTAAAGCATACACATAAAAATTGATGAAAACTGCATGTTTTGTTGTATGTAAGAGAGGACTTCACAGAGTTTATAGAAAACAGAATTTAAAAATAAAGAAAGTTTTCATGAACTTTTTGAAGACCCCTCACACATCACCATAAAAATAAATTACATGGAATTGTAATCATGGCAATGAAATGATATTTGAAAGAATGAATGTAAAACTAATGTTCTCCCATGTAAGCTATCACATAATTCACAATAAAACATTAAAGAAGAGAGAGAGAGAAATACTGCATAGGACCACTACGGTAAAAGACTAAGAAAAAGAACCCATACTAAAGGGGGGTGAGTGAGGGGAAGGAGGGGAAGGTAGAGCACAGGGCAGGGATTAGACACAGGAAAGTTTGGGTGCTGGAGAGGGGGCCAATATACAAGAAGGGAGAGGGGAATGGAAGAACAAAGCAGATGGGAGAACAATTAGGCAAGTTTGAATGGGCTAAGTGGGACAGAGGTAAAGAATGATGTATACACAACCTTGGAACTACAGGGCTCTGGGATACAGAGATTGAGACATGGTTGGAATGGGGAAAAAGGGGGAATAATGTTAAGATGCTTGGCTGTCTTTTGAATCTTGGTTATCCTTGCATACCATTATGAAATAGACA